GAGTCAATCAACGTGAAGTCTGCTTTATTAGTATAGATAGATTTGCGTAAGGTTTCAAAACCATTTTCTTTGAGTTTAAAACGGTCCTATTTAGTGGAGAAGTAGATCTTCTTATTATTTTCAATCTGCTTTTTACGCCAACTCACTTATTAAATTTGATACTGTTCTTTAAATTTTTTTTTTTTTTTTAATTTTAAATTTTCAGCTCCAAAGGTATTGAGTTTTATAAACATTACGAAACATAAATGAAAGGGCATAATACTAAGCTTTCTTAAGTGCAATTACAATCAACTGAACAAGGTTAACATAGCTTCCTAACAGGTGGCTCACTTAGCCCCGGGGGTGGCCAATATAGCCCCAAGCAGGGGCTGTGTTGACCAAAATGGATTTTCTTTTAAAAACGCATGAAAGTCTCAAAATTAAAGTATTGTGTACAATGTTCTCAGTTGATTTTGATTTTACACTGTATGCTCAAGAATTAGTGCATTAAAAAAATGGCATTCTATTCTTCTGTTTCTTGGGACACAAGTTTTCAAAAAATCTGGTCAATATAGCCCCGGTCTCCCGTACATAAGTCCGTTTTTTCGAAAATATTTCTCCAGCTCCCCCCCCACTTTNCCCCCCCCCGGTAGCTCCCCTATCGTAAGGGTACAAAACTTTTTTCGAACGGTACATTTCGGTACTAAACTAGTACTAATACAAGGAGTAAAGAAACATTCTGATTTTATTACCCGGGGCACAGAAACGGCCCGGGGTTCAATACTGCCACGGGCAGGGGGCCATGGCGGGGGTACCTCCCCCTGGGGGAGACCATACAGTAAAAAAAGTGCGGTTTTTTTGACGGTGCATTTCAGTACATAACTCGTAGTGTATATCCTGAGGGTTTTCGAGTACGTAAGTCCGTTTTTTTAAAAATATTTCTCCAGCCCTCTAGAGTACCTATATTGAGAGAGAATGGCCACTGGGCCCTATGGAGAGGCTTGGGACCCAAAAGTGGCGGTGCTTTGTTTTTGTTTTTGTGGATGGGAGAGGGGTCATTGCCAACTTTTGACGGTTATCACCATAACTGGCACTTGCTGCCAACCTTACTACATCTAAGATAATTTTTCCCAAAAATTGCTCACGATTAGCCTTAAAAATATGTAAAGAAGTCGCAATGGTGCATTTGAGTAAATTTCTCGTTACGATGAGCAAAGAAAACTACATTTTGAGTCATTTTGCATAAAATTAATGTATGGCGTCTGTCATTTTTGGGTCCTAAGGGCTCCATTCAGCCATTCAGCCAATCAGAGGTGGTAACACCAGTGGCCATTCTCTCTCAATATAGGTACTCTACAGCCCTCCCTCCTGCGTTTTAATTGTACGTACTTTACATGATGGGTACAAAACTTTTTCTATGCGGTACATTTGGGTTCAAAACTAGTACAAAACTTTGTCGACCTTGAATTATAATATTGGGAAGGAGGGGGGGGGGGTCTGGAGGAATGGACCTCCTACAATACGGCCGTGGACTAGTCACACGTAGCGGAAATTCAAATCGCCATGTATTCTTATAGGGAAATCCCATTTCTCTACGCGCAAATTCTTTGTGTGAGAGTAGAACTGAAAAGTTTTTATGAGTGAAATGAACAACCAACGTGATAAAGTATGTGTTCTAAAACTTTCATCTGAATAATAATTTTCCTCGGTGGAATAATCGAGCTTGAAAAGAAGGTCTCAAATGGTGGGAAAACGGAAAACTTAGGCACTATTCTTTTGACTGCAAGAGCTTCATATTCTCCCATCATGCTCTGCACGACGGAACTAGTCCTTTTTGCGCTCCGTTTCGATTGCGACTGGTCTACAATCCGAGCCCTCACAATCAGTATTCTAGGAAATGCCGCGATCAGACGCTGAATTTAGCACCTGAATGTGGAAGTCAACAGTCATCGCCCAACGGCTGAAATTTAGCAAATTCGAGTTATTTTCATTCAGATGTGTATCAAATCTACTCGAATAGTTCAGACAAATTCAAAATTGGTCCGATGATTGCTGAGAATCGTTGCTGAATTTTGCGCGTGACGCGCAAAATTCAGGCATCGGGCCGATGACTTCCACATTCAAGCCACATTCAGCTCCCACATTCAGCGTGTGATTGCGGTGTAAGGTCTCTATTTGTACGTAAAATTTTGAAAGGGCAGCCAACCTATGAATTCAAATTATCCATAGATGTATGCACACAGTAGTGCATTTTTAAAAACTTGTTGAACGAAGAGAACATTATAACATACAATTACGGTCTTTTCGCGAGTTTTAATCTCGTTTCAGTGATACGAGTAACAAAGAGGAAATCGATTAAGACACACAACCAGGGATCTAGAAGCAAAACGGGGCACTCGCATACCCCTTCTTATGGCAGAGAACTATAGATCTCGCAGCCAGCCAATGAGAGTTTCGCACGGTGTTCCTGAAAGGGCTTTAAGGTGAGTCTGTACACCCCATTTAAACCCATGTAAAATATGCTCATACAAATGACCCTTTTTCTCAGGAACTGTTAAAGTTATCAGTCTGAAAGGGGTGGGTGCAAAATCGACAAAAATTCCCCCCTCATGGATGTTGACCAATTTTCAGTATGTCATTCCTCACTATGGGATACGCCTTTTCCCTAAATTTCAAGGCCTGAAATGAATTTCTTTCCGCGCAGCAGCGTTGCCAAGTTGGAAACCGTCGAGTTCCATATCTTTTGAACGAAAAGAGATATTGAGGTACGGTTTGCCCTAAAATTCTCCACAAATTGCGTTCTTTTGAAATTTATACTCAATTTGATCGGTTAGGTAATTTCAGATTGCAATGATGCCATTTTTCACACTTTCTTAGGGGTAAATTTTGTTTCAACCCTAGTATATCGTCAAATGCCGGATTCTCGATTCGAAAAAAAAACAGTTCATTGTATTATTCGTACTTTTCCATTTCTTTTGATATATTATAGCTCCCAGGGAAACGATTGGTAAGGGAGATATGAGCAATTTAAGTTTACGCTCCGCGCGCGCCGACTGGAATCCGGGCGCCGCTCGCCGCTCTGAGTCGTCTGTACACTCCCTTCCTTGAGCTTCACGAGGTCATTCCTACATATTTTTTTGCGTACTTTCCATTTCTGGCCTTTGAAAGGGGCTCCGATAAATTTTTAGGGGTCTTGCGGTCCATTGATACCATTTTTGCTCGTATTCAGGGATTTTTCCCTATTTTACTCACAATTCTACTGAAAAACTTATTTTAAACGGAAAACGGTGTGCGTTGAGGGAAAGAACGTAAATTAAAAATACAATTTCATGTATAAATTTCTCCTTCGTTGCCAAATTTTCGAGGAAAATCGTGCCATAGAGCCAAATATTTGAAAAATTGGATAAATCCCCACGCCACGGTTTATGGAAGTGGGGCATAGCTTTCATATTGACGTACTTACGTAACAGATCTTACCTATCTATACAACATATCAAAAGAGCATAGTTGTATTTGGATTCCCACGATCTGAAAATTGTCCGGGATGTCACCTTTTGCGACCTTTTCTTATGAGTAAGGTAGATATTTTGAATGTTTTTCGACCTTTAGTCGTCTTCCGTAAAGGTGTATCGTTTGTATTTTTGCTGTAATTTTCATTTTTGGCAGTATAAATTGCTTGTGATGAACTTTAAAGGACCTTACGATCCATTGTTGCCATTTCGGCCAATTTTTAGGGTTTTTTTTTTCAATTTTACATGCGTTAGACTTTATTCAACCTGTAACCGTGTACAGCGTACACTCAGATTTTTGGAAATAACGTAATAAAGTACATCATTGTAACGTTCTTTGTAACTTTTTCTTACGAGACCATATGTCATAGAACGTAGAAGGTTTTAGGAAATGAATAATGACTTTCATGCAGAATTGAAGAGCTTTCCGGAAAAAGGGCACATACCGAAAAAACGCGTTCTGAGAAAAACGCATTTTAAGTTTTCATTCTTACATTCTGGGCAGTGATTATGACATACGTCGGAACTGGGGCACTCATATCAACGTTCATACACCCTAGAATGAATAACGACCATTGGTAAAACTTACACTTCTTTCAGTGTTGTGGGAAGAATTTTTTAAAAATTTTCCGTTATGTTCCCTTTTCCCGGAAATGGACCGGTGGTCATAGGTTTTGGCTTTTGAAGCTGAATTTTCGAGACTTTAAATAGTATCTAAACAAGAGTAAATAATTCCGATTGATTAATAAATAATAATTTCGATTGAGAACGCGCGGGTGGATCATCTTTGATCATTATTAATGAAAAAGACTGCGAAACACGCGAAAAAATCGAAAAATTCAATCTCACACCGAGACCGTTAAAAATTAAATCAATAATAATTACAAAAAATCACGTGTGACAGGTGCAACGCGTAGATAATCCCTACAATCCCTGCAACCCGATGCTATTGCATTGATTAGCAGAATCAGTGCGATCGTCTGTAGTGAGGGATCCTTATCAGTATCCATCACCTTCCTGCCTGCCTGCGCGCTATCTCCTCAACGTCGCGGCGACCGTACCCAGAAGCAAATAGATGAAATACGTTTGTGACCCTTGACGTATTGTTAGCCTCACAAAACGTGGTCTCGAAGCTCCAAAAATTGATCAATTAAGCTGGAACTCGGAACATTTGTTTATTAGGATGCGAGAAATCCATTTCAGAGACGATTTGCAGATCGTGGGAATCCAAATACAACTATGCTCTTTTAATATGTTGTATAGATAGGTAAGATCTGTTACGTAAGTACGTCAATATGAAAGCTATGCCCCACTTCCATAAACCGTGGCGTGGGGATTTATCCAATTTTTCAAATATTTGGCTCTATGGCACGATTTTCCTCGAAAATTTGGCAACGAAGGAGAAATTTATACATGAAATTTTATTTTTAATTTACGTTCTTTCCCTCAACGCACACCGTTTTCCGTTTGTAATGTTGAGTGTGGCGAGAAACAATGACAATGACAAATGACTGATTGACTGTACAAAGAAACATGGTTTATTCAGACAAATCGAACATGATCGGATCGCGACATGTGAACGACGATGACGATGCGCACACACTCTCCGGTTCCGTTGTTCGCCGCTAGGGGACGACACGAGACGGGACAATACATCTCCCTTTCCCTTTTCTCCTGAAAATAAAACTAAGTAAAACTAGATGCTAAACAACTTTCACCCTTTGACCGAGGGAAAAAAAAAAAAATTTACATAATGATTACAAAAGGTCATGGTTACTTAAGGTCAAAATCTTTGAGGGTACCTGGTTTTTTTATTTCCCGCTTAGGGCGAGGTGCATTAATATGAGAGGGCGGAGCAGCTGGCTCTGAGCGTGTAGCCGCGGATTTCTTTAGAAAACTTGTGTTCCTTCTCTTAATGGAATTATTCGGCTCTTCTATTAAATAGGAGCGAGGCTCGCCTGACGGTTTGATAATTTTTGCTGGACCCCATTTGGTACCATCATGAAGGGCTATGTTTTGATTGGGTTCAAAAAATTTTTCATTGTTGTGGGATACATTTTTGTCGTAGTTCCTTTTGTTACGAACATCATTTTGTTTTTGGATTTGTTGGAAATTTTGAACAATTTTCGGTTCTAGGAGTCTATCCGAAATGGGGAGGGTGGTTTTTGTTAGGCGGCTAAATAACAGTTGGGTTGGAGAAAATTTTGAATTCAGAACTGGTGTGTTCCGGTATTCCATTAACAAAGTGTAGATGTCTAACTCTAAATCTTGTGCTTTTTTTAGCATTTGTTTGCAAATACCTACTGCCTTTTCGGCTAGTCCATTACTTTTGGGGTACAGGGGTGAGCTGGTAACAAGTTTAAAATTATAGCTATAACTGAAGTCTCGAAACTCCATAGAATCATACGGCATATTGTCCGCTCTAAAGATAGTTGGAATGCCATGAGTGGCAAAAATAGGTTTTAGTACATGTATGACAGCTTGAGCTGTTTTTGAAGGAAGTTTTATTAGCTCGATCCATTTAGAGTAGTAGTCAATAAGGACCAAATAATTGGATGCTGAGAACTCTAAAATATCTGAGGCGACCTTATGGAAAGGCAGTGTTTGCGGAGGTTCCTGAAGTAAAGGCTGCTTCGGTTCTTTGCGCGAAAATTTTTCACAAACCTCACATTTTTTAACAAAGTTTTCGATTTGGACAGACATGCCCGGCCAAAAAAATAAGGTGTTTGCTCTGGCTCTTGTCTTAACAATACCAAAATGGCCTGAACTGTGAACATCATTAAGAATCACTTCTCGCAATGCAAGTGGGACAACAATGCGATTCTCTAGACAAACTAAATTATTCTCTACGCAAATACCGCTTTTTAGGTCACAATATATTTTCACCTCATGATCTATATTAGCCAACGATTTTGGCCAGCCTTTTAAACANATTCTGTTAGAAAAAACAAGCATTTTTGATATTTTGTCGGTGGAAAGAAATTTCATGAAATTTCTTGTGAAATTTCACGAAATTTCATTCGACGAAATTTCTTTTAGCAACTCTGAATTTTGGGAAAAGGCGTATCCCATAGTGAGGAATGATATACTGAAAATTGGTCAACATCCATGAGGGGGGAATTTTTGTCGATTTTGCACCCACCCCTTTCAGACTAATAGCTTTAACAGTTCCTGAGAAAAAGGGTCATTTGTATGAGCAGCAGTCATCTTTATGAGGTGGTGCAGCACTGGTACTAGGATTAAGACTTTACCGACATAGGAAGTGAACTTTCTTGAAAGTTCAAAGTTTGTTAAAAAAAACCCCTGCTTTTTTAGCTTTAGGAATATTTTGAAAAAAGTTGAGTTGAGTTACACAGAATATCCTCGTTCCACTTATGCTCCTTACCTACTCTTGTGAACAGATCAAAAAAAAGGTTATGAAGATATCTCTTTTAGTTTCTGAGATAAAGGGTCATTTAGTTAAAAAAACCAAACTTGCGGAAACAGTAAAAATAGAAAAAAAAGTAGCATTGTTCCAGTAAGTATTTGGAAGAAAATAAAATCACTCACATATTTACTCAAAAGGAAAGTATAGCATGTTATATACCATTTTAATCAGCAAAGTAAGCTGTTCAAGAATAAATTATAAAACGAAAATGCCAATTTTTTTATTTTGGGTGTACAGACTCACTTTAACCAGGTTCAACTCGAAGTTGGTCACGACTCAAAAACTTGGGCTAGAATGTCAAGAGGAGCAACACCAGATACTAAAAACCGCAATTTCGAAATCGGTTGTTAGAGCTCCTGGAGAAATAATCGCGATTTTATGGTTTTATTAGGCTTTCTTCAGAAAATAGGCTCATGTAGGGCAACTAGATTTCCCCCATGCCCCATTTCCTCTGGGATTGATCTGAATTTTGAGTATGTTATTCACCGATATGAAGTACGACTCTCCTGAAATTTTCAAGATCGAGAAAATTTTTTGCTCCCGTAACAACGTTGCAAAGTTTCAAACTTGAAAATTATAGTTTTGAAAAAGAAATTGTGACACTGGCCCCCTGCTTCTTGAATTCGTCTGAATTTATAGAATGTTCTCTTCCGATATGAGGTTAAAATTTTCTGAAATTTTCATGGCCGGAAAATATTTTTTCCTCTCGTTACAACGTTGCCAAATTTTCAACTTGAAAATTTTGGGTTTGGAGGTAACACGATGGCATGGCCCATGTCTTAATTAATTGATCTGCATTTTTGGTGCTTTATTCTTCCGTATAAGTAGCAAATTCTCTGAAATTTTCATGACTGGATAATTTTTTCACTCCAATTTCGACGTTGCCAAGTTTCGAACTTCAGAATTACGGATTTGACCATAAAATGATGTCGTTTGGGCAGAACACCTTGCAGAACTTTTTTTATTTATGAGTAATTTTACTAAGTGTTTCGATAATTTGTCTCGTCAAAACTGTAAGCTTGCCTTGTTGCCGTTTTACTAATTTTATTCCGCATGAATGTTTCTATAGTGCATCTTGCTGCAACTGCAAGTGCTGGTTTGTTTCATTTGCTTTAGCAGCATCCATTCAAATATAAAATGATACGCCATCAGTTTGTGCATGTGCACTGGAAAAATTTACATTTGCCTCCACTACATCTTTGAATAGGTGAGTTTTAGTTTTTCATTATAATAAATTGCATTATAATAAAATAATTTTGAAATCAGCTATTCCTGGAAAAAGTGAAAATAAAAAATTATTCCCTCTGTGATGAAAAAGGAGGAGTGAAAAAATCTGCCAAAAAAGAAACCCTCGTGAGAGTTCGGAACTCATCTTCTGTCCGCAGAGAAATTGGAGGGCCCCAATCCAGGATTCTTCACCGAAAAAAAACCTCCACAATTTATTATAATGAAAAACTAAAACTCATCTTTTTAAAGATGAAATGCGGATTTTATTCTACATGTGTATGTGATAACTCTGATGATGACCATCAGGCCGAGAAGCTTGAGTTTGAAATAAATATTAATTGTTTGTTACCTAATCATGTTCCATAATTTTACTTGAAAAGTCTGAAATAAAGAGGTAAACCAAATAGAGAAAGGGAACAGGAAGTTTCTTTTAAAAAGTACTAAATAGTATTGTTTCTTGCATTGTTATATTTTACTACTTTTTTTTTCAAGCTTTTTACAATATTTGTTCGAAAAGTTTTACCCCTTATGCTACAAGGGAACTCTAAATTTTACAAGAGAAACAACACATTTTCCATGCAGTTTCTTACAATATGTTACAATATTTCTTCAAAAATTTAAAGCCTAGAATTATTCGTGGCAGAGTTATTTTCTAAATAGAAAGGACCTTGAATGAGAGAAAACGGAAACATTCTTATTGAGTAACAATTCACATCTTTAGGACAGCAATGAGAGGTTCGAGAGCTCATAATTTGTTATAGGTTTTGGAGAAATAATGTTCTTTCTAAAATTAGAATCTTACAGGTCTAGGGAACTATCGATGGTGGAGCTAACCAACCACAAATTTCAGTTGCGTTTGAAAGGAACCCCGCATGATCCTTATGAGGACACCCCCCCTCCCACGGTTATATCTGATGAAACTTGCGTCCGTTGTTCCGCTAGTCATTCTGATCAAAAGTTCTGGTGGGCCGAAAGAGCGCCTGTGTACGGTTTTCGAGATATTCGCCGTTTCATGTGCGTGAACGGAATTTTCGCGCGCTCCCGCCGGCTGGAATATTGTACGGTGCTACTCGTGCCCTTCCCTCCCAGCACAATCCGGTCCCTCTTCGCTACCACGCTTCCCGTACCTAAACTTCTCTGCAGCTCCAAATCTGACGCTTACAGAGTCCAGCCCGCACACAAACTACGGGCTTCTAAGAGGCTCATCGATGGAACTGTTGACTGCTGCCTTTCAAAGATCGTTGGTTCGACGATCTTCGAAGGTAACCGATGTGTTTGGGACACATCAAAAATCAGATCTTGAAATTTTCAAAGAATTTTGAGCAGAAATGGCTAAGAAATTGAAGAATTCTTACTAGTTTGAGAGCCCCAGATCCCCCAGTTTTCAGGTGGGCTAGATGCTTATGAGGCAGCGCCCACCATCAGCGGACCCCGCCACACGCCCCATGCCATTTCCTCACGCCGCTCAATGATGGTGGACAGTTCTGCCGTCCTGAGGAAAAACGCCGTATGAGCCTCCAGGCGGTGGCAAATTTCCTTTGATAAAACATGAATTTCCCAGTGGACTTATGAATATTTACCTTCTAATTTTGTAGACAATTTTTTCATCTGAAGTTTCTGAAAATTTCAAGGAAAAATATCCATAACTTTCCTAAAAATAAACAGTTTATCAGAGGAAATTTGGCATCTCTCGAATGCTCATACGGCATTTTTCCTTGGCACGGCAGAGTTGGACACAGCCTTGTAAGCGGCAGAGGAGCCAAGGCACCGGTGGCGAGAAAGCGGAAACGGGTCAGAGGGGACTGGGAGGGAAGGACACAAGTAGCACCGCACAATGGTTCGGCTTCCAGTGGGAGTGCGAAATGTCTGTTTATACACATACACGGCGAAAATCTCGAAAACCGCACATGGGATCTTTTCGAACAATGCAAGCTTTTAATTAGAATGACTAGCTGAGCGACATATCTAAGTCTCATTCGACTTGACCGAGGGGGAGGGGGGGGCGTAAGGTGATTCCATGTGATCTAGGGACGAGGTCCACCACCATGTTGCGATACCTCACGGTTTGTGTCTTGGAGGCAGTAATTATCGTGATGTACAAAATAATGAAAGAAACTGATCCATAGCGTGTAGCAGCATTAATACTGGGTAGAATGACATCAAATTTGGGAACAATCATTGAAAATTTACATCTGAAACTACTTTAACGAACGTTGCCTGTTGACGCAATGTGTTAGAGAGAGATAACATGACAACAACTCTCCCTCATACATTGAGTCGAAGTGCCACGTGCATTATGGTAGTTTTAGTTGTAAATTATCAATAAATCTTCACAAGGTTGATGTCATTATACTAAGTAGTAGTCTGTCGTCTAAAGGAAAAACGCTGTAACTCCATTCCAAATTTTATATTTTTTTTCTCACATACTGCTCTATTACAAAAAATCCAACTAGGTACTACAAGGCTTCATTATTTAATATTCAGTTCTTCATGGTACCGCCAAAATCGACTGAGGAAAGTAAAGGGTTAATATTTCTTCATCTTCTTTATAATACGGCAGTTGCTTGAAAAAAATTGAAAAATGTTTGAATGGAAACACAGCGTCTACATTTTGGATGGGAGTAATGCTCCTACACATTATGAATCTAACTTGTACGTGTCGACAATTATTGCTTCTCAGGCACACACCGTGTGGCAGCGAAAAATGGCGAATCTCGTTTTAATATCAGATAGAATTATCATTAGGATTGTGCAGGGTTCTTTCTGCTCATGTTTTAGTTAAGCAAAAGAGTACAACTCTACATATTTGCACTAAATTTTCAAAGAATGCTATTGAAGGGACGGAGAATAATCAAACAAAATTGTGTGCAAATACTATGATCCGGCTCTCTCTAAAAAAAATAAAGCATCGTATGAGATTTGAAGGTCTGTGAACCAAGATACACATGGTTTGGGGCTTTCACCATCAATATGAAAATTTTGCTTCAATTCTGTTCTGCACATTTTCTGAGGAGGCTCACTGTTCAACTGACCTCAGTAACCTCACTCCACCAATGACCTTCATGATGACAAATATTACTCTATTTTACGGAGGTCCAGTGACTGGTAACCTTTTATAGTCTATCTTATCTAACTGTACTAAAGGCCTCAACTGCTCTGCAAAATTTTTCATATCTTCCCCAATTGCATCTTGACCATTCGGAGCTAATACACTTAACTCAACTAGATATGACTGAGACATTGGCTCCACGCTCTCAGGAGGTTTGCCTTGGCCCATCTGAAAAAGAGAAAAATAAGTGCTGCAACAATAATGCTCGTCTATTCAAGTTCACAAATGAATCTCCTTCTTCTTCTATGAACGACTAGAATAGCCATGTTCGTCAGGCTACTTGGCAAACATGAATGGAGTTACAGAAGTTCTGTCAAGCGAAAATCTTCAAATTTTACTTCCAGAAACTAGACAACCACAGGAGATAAAGAAAAAGAGATGTTTAATCATTTGTTTTCTGCAAAAAGGCATTGTGAACTTCATTTACGAGGGGAATAAAGAATGATGGTCGCATCTCGCACCGTCTCTTGACGTCACACGGTATCGCAGACATGGGCCGATCGTGGCGGGGGGGGGGGGGGGAGGAGGTCTCGGATTGCACAGCAAAACCGGTATAGTACAGAGGCTTAATGCAAGTGCGCTGCAAATCGTGATTCAGTTTTGCCACTTTGGGAGGTCAAACTATATGATATTTTAAGAGTTTTGAGTCGAAGAGGCATTTCCAAAATGGTGGCAGATCCAAGACGGCGGCTATTCAAAATGGCGTCCGGGCGCGTACTTTGAGCCGCTGTAGATCGAGATCCACTGAACCAATTTCACTTCTCTTTTTCTTGTTAGAAAGATCATTTGAAGGTAAATGTAAGAATATTACAAAATTTGTGATTTTAACAATATATAGGGTGTTTTTTTTACACAAACCGGGTCTAGTGAATCGGAAAATAGCTTGTGATCCATATATAACTTTTAAAATCGCATTATAAAAGTCACTTTAAATATGTATCACGTTAAAGAGTGTGTTTTAAGCTTTTCAACGATACATGATGACGCTTACATGATGAGTCTATGATTTACGGTTTCTGTGCCCCTGCGATCCGCGCGGCGGCGGCACAGCCGGGCCTGCATAAAGTAGTCCAGAGCAGGGACTGATGGCAAAGGTTGACCCCCGGCATACGTCGAGATGCCGCATACGTAGGTATGCCGGATGCTCAAGTAGCCGGATCTGCCAGCATAAGTTGGTAGCTGGATCTCCAGGTGTGTTTTTTTTTATTTATTTATTTATTTTATTTGCACAAGAAGATGTAAAATTTTACAATAAACACTTACAAATATATCAGAATGTCTTTTAAAGCTTGATTTAACTGAAAAATACTTAACTATTAATTACAAACATTTTATTTTGTTTGCTATTACCTCTAGGAATTGAGGAGGAAGGTTAAGATACAAATTTATTACTAATAAGAATGTCTTTTTGTTCTCACTTTCAGCGCCTTCTGTTTTATTTGAGACTGCCGTCAACCGTCACCAGTCAAAGACCAAGAAGCCCCTGATCCGTCCGAAGATACAGGGAGGCACACTGGTTTTAAGGGAATACTTTTGTGAGACCCTGAATTCCAAGCTCATAGGGCTTACGTCTTTTCAGCCTGCGACCGCATCGGTCCCATTCCAAGAGCGCAAGCGCTTCTTGGTTGAGATGACAATGCAGTCTCATATCGTACGTTGAGTACATCTTGATGATGTAATTCTCAGCTGAGTCAATGTCGAGGTCAGCGCGAATATCTGCGTTTCTCTCTTATCATTATGCTTCAACTATGCTGCGCAAAATTTTCATCTGCATTACTTCAATTTTATCTAGATTTGACTTGGCTGCACAACCCCACAATTGGCAACCATAACTCCAAACCGGCCTCAACATTGACTTGTAGAGAAGCAACTTTAGTTGTAGGGAAAGTCAAGATTGGCGCACCATGAGCCACTGCATATTTGAGAATTTAGGACACAGTTGAGCGACCTTTTTATTAATGTGAGCACCCCGTCTGAGCCTGGAATCCAGGTGGAGGCCAAGATATTTGGCGAGAATGTTGTTAGGGATCTGAACTTCCCCTACAAGTAAGGGAATGTGGGCAAACGGCCTATTAGTGAAAACAATTTCAACCGATTTAGACGATACGTTAAGTTTCGTTTTGTCTTTTTTAGTTATTTTGTTAAAATGTGACTGTGCATTGTCCCGTGCCTCTCTGCAGCTACAAGACGATGCTAACACAAGAGCGCCGTCTGCATAAATGCCCAACTTTCCTCCCTCCCAGACTGTCGGATGTCTGTGGTGAAAAGAAAGTATAGAAGAGGAGAAAGACAAGAACCCTACGGAGCCCCTGCCCTTACACATATTATGCTGGAAACTGCCTTTTCATAGCGCACGCGGAACTATCTGTCCGTAAGGACAGATGACAGGAGCTCCGCATGATTACAAGTCCCCCCCAATACCTCCAAATTAGAGCGAAATCGGATGATTTTCAGAGCTGCCGCAATGCGGTTTTAGTCGCAGCGAAAATTTTTTAGACTCCCCTTTTCAGCGTATTGGGCGCAACTTTTAAAGGCAGTTAGCAGCAATTACAGGCATTAACTAACTCTTCTGTTGAGGGATGCCAGGTTGATATTGAGATACATTTTCGGCTTTCACAGAAATATACTTAATTTAAAAAATCAGTTTTTAGGCTGTTACTGCGCCCAACGATCATTTTCTTTGAAGTTAGTAGGTAAAAAGGATTATAATGCCTCTACATAAATGCAAAATCAACAAGCAGTCACTATCAGCGATACTCGCGCACCGAAAACAACGATACCGAGTTGATTGGCACATGAAAGGCCTTCACACGTACAATTTGTTATTCCACCCAACGCTCCAGAGACCTGACTTAACTCGGGAAAAAAGGGTTTTTGCCCTCCAGCCAGGACGCACCTATGTTCCACCTATACCACGGTATAGTCCATGGTAGAGAGAATCCGATGAGCCGATGCACAGTGGGAAAAACAGCCAATCTAGCGCCGAAAAAGTCTTGACGCTCGGAGTGTTCACTTTCCCATTGGTTTTTCACACTTAGTTGGTCCTATATATCTACCTAAGCATCAAAGAAAGCATAATGCGCCGATTTTTCGTAAATTTCAGAGGTATCGAGCTAAATTTAGTCGGCAAATCAGCTGTAATTCACATTCCTGGAGACTGTGCTTTGGTTTGTGGTTCCTGATCGGTCAGTGGAATTAAAATAAAATATTTCTTGCTTTTTATGTTATTGCTGGTTACTTTCTACACTATGAAGTGTACTAGTCTTATTTCCCTTTTATTTTCTTTTTTTTTGGAATGGTTTGCGTGCTCAATGATTTTCCCTAACTTTCCAGCTCCTCAAAATCTTAAAAATATGAAGTATTGCACATGCGCATTTTGTTGAATACAGTACGAGAGAAACAACTAAAAAGTGAAAATTTGCAAGGATAAAGTATAAAACATCTGCTTCGGCGGGGATCGAACCCGGACTAAGAAAATAATTGCAGAGCACGCTGTCCGCTAGGCTATCGGTGACAGCTTGTCCGCAGGCGGGAATAGCTGTAATATAAGAGTGCGTTGGGGGAGTGCGCAACGCTCTGCGCACGCACTCTCCCTACGCTACTCAGCGATTCAACGCTAAGCTGCTAGGCAAAACGACAGTTACAGAGCGCATGTTTTGACTCAGTTTTGATCAAATATCTCTGAAAGGCTGGTTTCAACCAAGGATTTTTGTGATCTTGATAGTATAACGAGTAACTGGATATGAATATCTCCTTGGATATCCTTGGATATTGTAAGATGCAGTTTTTAGAAGTTTGAATTTCTGACTATTTCAGAGGTTACTTTCAAAAATTGCTGTAAGTCATAGAAGTATGTAAAAAAGAAAAAATTGTTCTTATGTTTAGGTGAGCAAGCCTTTCTTGAAAAAAAATTAAAAGTCACTTATGACACACTTAGACGAACACACGAGGCTACTGAATGTAACCACTCTGAGGCGGTCCTCAACCAGCTCCGCGGTAACCGGTGCATTTCTTATTATTATCGCAGATAAGATCGATCTCATGAAGTAGAACTTGGCTGATTCTTGATCAGTAGATCCTAAGGAACACATACATACCAATTATGGCCATTTTCATTGATGCTGATTTTCCGACTTTTTCGGCGCTAGATCGGCTGTTTTTCCCACTGTGCGATGGGGGCAGTAACGACTTATACGCGTAAAGGCCATTGTGAGCAGGGCCGGATTAAGGGGGTGGCCACATGGGCCGCGGCCCATGGCGGCAAATCTAGAGGGCGGCAAATTTTGCAATTTTTTTAAATGTAGGTATAAAAAAAATCGGATTTAGAAAAAAATTACAAACGAGAAAAAGCGACAAAATCTCTCATTTCCTGAGAGTATAGTAATTTCTAATTTCGTCGTCTTTCAGCAATAGAGACAGCACCTTTAATCAGTCGAGTTAAGAGAGATACCAAACACGCAATTTGGCCTGGAACGACGCGGCGCAGAGAGCAATGATGACGAGGACTTGAGATGAAAAGGAGAAGCCCTCGGCGCGGCAATCGGCATGTAACACATATTAGCGCCTACAAGACTGCACGAATAATTGACGCATTGCTACAAACACAGTGCGGTCATTGCGGTCAGCGTGAAACAGATAGCGCCTACAAGAATGCATGAATACTTCACGCATTGCGCCAAACACAGTGCGGTCAGCGTGAAACGCATGGCGCCTACAAGACTGCGTGAATACTTCACTCATTGCGCCAAACACGGTGCGGTCTGCGCGGCGGCGGAAGTCAAAATCATTAAACCACATTCATGTTTGTTCTATCATAATTTGTTTGTTCATTTCTTATGAATGAAAGGCCATGTCCACACAGAGATAGGTTTACGACACCTAACTTTTGCTAGTAGTGTTGACAGGCCATTCCCAAAACATGTGTTCAACACGAGTAAACGCGTCTTAGGCACCCCTCCCCCGCTGGCACGTTCACTTGATGATTTTTATTGATGTTTCAATACGAATGAGAAGGAGGCGGCAAAATACAGGCGGCCCATGGGCGGCAAGTAGGTAAATCCGGCCCTGATCGTGAGTGCGGGGTCCTCAATTGTACCTGGACTGCTGCATATTTACTCTCTGGGAGTTTTTAAAAGGCATTTTCAGGGACCCGCTGGCGAGCGGAAGTGGATAGTCGCTCTTCGCCCCTCTCTCGAGAGCGCTCTCGGTCCTTGCCGTTACACAGAATAAGCTTCGTTTCCGCTAGGCACACTTATGCGCTTTTTCCTCCAAGCCCCTCAAATGGAAATAAACAATTAAGACTCCCACGTACGATGACAAAAACATGGTGGGATGGCGGCGAATCATCAGGTAATCCCCCGAGCTCTCTGCTTGACGATCCTTCCGTGAGCTCACAGGCGAAATTAGCGAGGCACCTATAATCGGCGAAAGAAGAGACATAGAATTTATAACACGCGTTGAGAGGTTAACGTTTCCTCACGGTATCTTACCGGAATGCATATATGTGACATTCACTTACAGAAAATCACACAATAGTAGTCACTCAGGTGGATTTATTGGTGGCTTGGTACCAAAGACATTGAATAGAGCAGACCGTGCACTCCCTATCTCCGCCGTGTCAGCTGAGCGAGGCAACTTCGGCGGGACTCCGTAATGGGCGGGCGGGGTGGGAGCTCGCGACTGAGCCCCACGCAGCATGAGCCGGCGTTGCGCGTACTTGGAAAAATTAGTTGCGCGCTCGGATTTTCGCGAATTACTCGTTTCCACTTCATTTTCCGGCAAAATTTGTAAGGACCACATGTTAATAGCATGAAATTTACTATTACTCTGAACAATTTTCGTTTCTCTACAGTCATTACTGACCGGAAAAAACGCTTCATAATTGAAAATAGAAGGATGTTCTTATAATGCGTGCAGCTTGTAAAGATGACGGCGTGGATGAGAAGTAATTTTGTAAAAGGTACAAAAAGGATTTAAAATGAGGTCAATCATATAGGTAAATCAAGGGTACAAACGAGGAATAGTGTTATGTATTGTACATAAAAAGGCATATAAAAGTTACGAGAGAGTTACTTAAAGCTATTGTCCATCTTGATCTAAGAGAAAGATTTGATGAAAAGCTGAAAAAGAGGGGCAACGATTTAGGCAGTTTCAAAGTACCAAGATTTAAGATTATTCCACTGAAAAAGATAATGTTTAAGCATTATTATCAAACTAATTTGCGAATCGCAACTTAATGTTACTTACTTAATCTGCTCAAAAATTTCAAAATCAATACTTCAGTCACTTGTTTATGACTGGCGATCGTGAATATTGTTTATTTTCAAGAAGTATGGGTAAGTAATTGCTCTTAATTCCTTTGCATTTTTAGGCGGCTCTGTGATTAAGTCGCTGCGCTCGAGAAGGGCAAGCACCTCTTTTTAACGATGTTCCAGAATCTAATGTTGCTCACATTTGTTTAGTAGAGTAGTTTCTAATGGTGAATTTCAAGGATTTTTTTCACAGAAAATTCCAGAATCATGAAAAATAACTCAGTAGAAATTTCAACGAAATCCATGAATTTCCTTCACTGATGAAATATTAGTAGAGATTTTGAACCACCACAACCAAGAAGTGCCATTCTTGCACCCAGTGCCTCAATTTTTCTGCACATTGCAGTGCAGTGGATTCTATGAAATGAGTTTTTATCATGTCCTTACTTTCCTCTATAAAATTAAAAAAAACACAGTACTTATGCAAAAGCAAAATGTTGTTTTCAGCAAAATGCTGAGGGCATTTACTTAATATTACATTTATCTCAAATAAATATCACAAACTGAAACAACACTATTTTGAAATTGAAGACACTAAGTTGACTACAATATTCAATGAAGAACTGCTCTTTCTGGCTCATTTTAGAAAGAACAAAATGTGCCATTAGTTCATGATCCGTTGTTGTGTCGTGTATTAGTTTCCTGTGTAGATAGGTAATAAAACAAATGAACCAAAAATAGTAATTCCTTAAGGCTAAATGTAGTCAAAGTCTAAAAATTATCATCGAGACATTATCATTCTTGTCTCTTGCCCGGTTCATCAAGAATTTGCTCATGTATAAGCATACCATAAATTGAGAGTTGTGTGGTGTTTAATCATGAAAACTAAAACACATCTTCACACAGAAACATTTGATTATAATCACATCAGCCGAAATTATTCGCACTAATCAATTAATGATTAAAGATTTCGGAGCCGAACCGTACCAACCTCGTACAAGCGCACTGTTCGTTTACCGCGAGCTGAGGACGGCTGGGGCTCACTCACCTCACCGGTGCCGTTTCGGTGTCCCGCAGTCATCGGTCCGTGCGCCATGCGAATGAAAGAGAAGTTGCCTCCGCTCCATTTCACAGCGCACGGTCTACTCTATTCAATATCTTTGCTTGGTACGCGGCTAGGATTAGGTAATTCATAGATTTGAGATGGAGTTGAGAATAATCGCATTACTATTATTTCTGGGAAAACTTGCAGACCAAACTTCTGAGACCTTTTAACTCCTTTTAGTAAAATATATGATTCAAAAAATGCAAACCTTGAATATTTTGGAGACTGTGATTTTCATCCTGCCTTTACGGAACATATAACCGCGGAGAATATATTCAAAGTCCATCCGACAACCAAGTTCAGTCAAAAACTCTACAACAGTTGCATTGCAGCCAACGTCTATACTGCTCCTGACTATTGTAGGCCTTGATTTATCACCTGCCATAGTAAGCAAAATTAAAAGATTGAGGCTATTTTAGTGAGACAGCATCCTATCATGCGTACCCACCTCTGGATGAGCGGAGAGTTGATTAAGTCCGGTTATCGCCGCAATGCATTACGTCAAAAGGGAATTTAAAAGCTTCTATCAAGTGGACCTTGAAGGGAAAATTATGTCATTCTCTAGACATTGCGCTCCCTCCCCCTCTCTTCTTGGATTATTCTCCCTGTGGTTCGTAATGGGATAGAGTTGAGTCAATAGATGATTTAGGTGTTGGTTTTTCTTTTTCTTTTACAGTTATATTGACTCAATGGAGAATTTGCATGCAAATTTTTTATTGCTTCATCTGAAAGCGCTAAAAGAGCTGATTTCACAGTATTTGTTATAATTGTTTTTTTTTTATATGGGAAATATTTTAAGAATAGATTTAAAAGTTAGAAAATGCACCGCATGGTGATGTTATCTGGCGGCATTTACCATTTAAACACACATATTTTAGCAGATTAGATCATTTTGTCATTTCTTCTCCAATAATTGCTCAATTCATGAACCAAGGGTACCAATCTCTTGTTCAGTTCACTCAATGCTTTCCACTTAAACACGAAATTAATCATATTTCAGAAACCTGCAAATTCTCTGTTGTAGGAATACCTTCAGAAAGTAAGGATTTATCAAAAGGGTGTCGACTGGGTTTCATGTGTCCAGTGTTTCTTACTTGCTTCAAACTCATGTTCTTCCTATTTTACATTTTTGTTCAGTGGTTTACTCCCCATATACTCTTAGCAACATGTACAAACTTGAGTCGACACATCACTATCTTCTAAGGTTTTTGGCGTTTAAAAGTGGGTCCCGAATGGCCTTCCATGATCATGACTATCATGATACCTCGTCTTCCTTCTCGATTCACTCCGTTGCCTCCATCCACCTTTACAAAAGGTGACATACTTTTTTAAGATCATAAATGGCCTGCTGTCCTCTCCATAATAGTCTATTCTTTTTTGTCGTTGCACTCGCGCATACCCATCGAGAGATGAGCATTTCTGGAGAGGCAGACTCGGTCTGCCTCTCGGTCTCCGGTGCCGGTCTCGGTTTCATTTTTATTCGGCTGGCTGTAAGCTAGTTAGAGAGTAGAACGAGCTGCCTCTTGAGTTGCAAGAATGTCTTGAGCTTTCACCCTTAACGTTTTAAGCGAGGGGTGGGCCTTGGAGCTCTGCCCTGAAGAGTAACTTTTTTCTTCTTTGTTATGTCTTTTCTATTCCTAATACTTTTTTTACTGTCAAGTTTCTTGATTTCTGTGGTCGTTCATGTTATTTTCTTATAGCAGCTGTTTCTTTTTCGTTTGGTTTTAGGGATTGTTCCCGTATTGTTATTGAAAATGGGTAAATAAATAAGTAGACTTACCTCACTTTTCTCCACCTCTGTCTGGACATTTCTGGGATTGTTTTGATAGCTTTTTGATGCCTTAAGCGTAGAAGCTCCTGCCTTGACACCGAAACCAGTCATTCACAGCGCACAGCACTTCTGAATCAGTGGCAAACCGCTTTCCGCCGAGGAAGTTTTTCGGGGCAGAGAAAGGCTGAAAGCCAATGGGGGAGGGAGGATGGGGGGAAAATTTCCAGTGCAGTGCGGTTCGTAACTAAGTCAGAAGTGAAGTGCGTTGTCAATGACTGGTCATTGACGTGGAAGGCGTCTCGAAGCGGCTAGATCAATCTCGGACATGTCCAGACAAGTGGCAGGTAGGTCGAAAAGTAAGGTAAGGTCTACTTAACATAAGCTTTGAAATACCTCCTAATGTGATGCTTTGCAGGTATGACCCGAGTTTGAAATAATGGACTTTTCGCATAACCGGAGGTGAGCAGGCAGTGACAGGAGACTTTTTTTTTTTTTCACTTGCGATCGATTTTGAAAACAGTAAAAGCTGTTACTTACAATTTTGAATATTTAATTAAAAACTCACGCTTTCACTATGATTTCTAATGTTTCAACGCGTTTTAGTGGCTACCCAGGCCACCATCATCAGCTGACTTGCTCTCAGTCAGTTTGTCAGTCTTAAGTCAGCTGATTTGGTGGTCTAGGTAGCCGCCGAAACGGAGTATATGAGAATGAGGCTGAGCACGATAAAGATACAAAGTGGATTAAAGAGCTCCAATCTAACTTTGAAATGGAGTGGAATTAAATAACAGAGGTTTTAGGTGGCAAGCATCATTGGTTTACTACCGAAGACAAGAGACAGTATCCCAAAAAACTACAGACCCATCACTTGTCTGAACAAATTGTACAAGCTATAAACAACTTTCTTGTCATTAGCTACAGTCTATATATCATTAAGTGGACAAGTGAGGAGCTTCGCCGACTTGACTCGGAAGCTACTGGCATGGCATGGATTGCTACACCCAAGGGCAGATGCTGACCGGCTGAACGTCCCAAGAGAGGAAGGAGGAAGAGGCTTTACAGAGATTGCAGCGCTTAGGACTGCCACGAACGTAGGGATGGCTGACTATATAAAAATCAAGCACCAAGAGAAACTTCTAGGACTTACTTATCATCATGAGAAAAATATGATTGAGAACATCCTGGCGGACCTTCCTACTCTTAAGCAAATTGAGAACACCGACGAAAACAACAGTGATACCAAAAGAGTGAAACAGGCTAAGAAAAACACCAAAACCAAACTCGAGGAAAGAAGAAAGAGTAACTGGAACGAAAAGAAAACGCACAGCCAGTTCCTTTAGGAAAGAGAAAAGCAACACATCGGGAAGGAATTAACTTGGAAATGGCTCAAAAACGGGGATCTAAAGGGAGAAACTGAAGAGCTGATTATATCATGCCAGGACCAGGATCGCCACAAATTACTTTAAAGAGAAGATACTTAGAACATCAGATGATCCAAAATGCAGATTCTGCAAAATGGAGTCGGAAATAATCCAACATTTAGTCTCCGCATGTCCGATCCTAGCAAAGAAAGAATACATTGAGTAACATGATGCTGTGGCAAGCTATTAGTCCAGTCAAATTAGAAAAATTAAAGGAAAAAAATCCAAAATAAGCGATTTTTGGCGAAAGTTGTTTGCTAGGGCCTGGAGAGGCACTGGCTGAAAGTCCCCACTGATACCCTTAGTGCTTAGCCCTCCAGTCCCCTCCTCCCAAAGCCCCCCATAAAGGCAAAAAATCGGTTTTTCCGTTTCATCTCGAGAACAGTTGGAGATGGCAAGTTGCGATTATTATTTGGGAAAATGTTCCTCATCAAATTCTGCAAAAAAAAGTTTCTTCTGCTTTTTCTTCTCCAGGCACTCCTTGACCCTCAAAATAGCTGCCCCGTAGGGGCGTCATAGCACGCTTCCTCACGCGCTTTGCTCATTTTAAAAACCGTGAATCGATCTACAAATGATTTTAAAAAAAATACCATGCAAATATGTAGGGCGATAATTAGGATTAGAGTGTCATCGAAATATGTTTCCTTTCCTTCTAGTTGTACCTCGCCCACAGGCTATTGCTCAAGCATAAAAGTTTACTGACTGAAAACAAAATTTTGCATAGCAAACAAGGTAAGAGTACATAATTATTGCATATCATGTAAATTCCAGGCATGTATAGAAGGTGACGGGGTGAGAAGGTTGCGATACTCGACGGCTTGGCAGCGCGGTCTAGAGCCGCACCTATGCGTTCCTTACAGTGAGGAAGCGCGCTATGACGCCCCTGCGGGGCGGCTATTTTGAGGGTCAAGGAGTGCCTGGAGAAGAAAAAGCAAAGGAGACTTTTTTTTGCAGAATGTGATGAGGAACATTTTCCCAAATAAACGCAACTTGCCATCTCCAACTGTTCCTAAGATGAAGCCGAAAAACCGATTTTTTAGCCTTTTTGGGGGGCTTTGGAGGGGGGGGGGGCTGGGGGGCTAAGCACAAATGGTATCAATGGGGACGTTTAGCCTGTGCCTCTCCAGGCCCAGCAACTTCGCCAAAAATCGCTTGTGTAGGAATTTTCCCCCTAATCTGGGATTTTTTTTTTTTATCTCATTTGACCCTACTACATCTGCACTGGAATGTATGCAGACACTACAGGGTGTACCAAAAGTCCGTCCCACCCCTGCTAACTTTTGAACGAATTGAGCTAGGGTAATGAAACTTTGGAACTGTTCCTATCTCAAAGGGGACCATCTTTTGGGGGGGGGGGGTCAAAATTTTGGTTCCCCTCAGGGGGGGCGCGGGGGGCCCCCAACTTTTTTTTTCAAATGGCAACCCCTATCTTGTGATACCTCATTTGAAAGAGCATAAAAAACTAAGAATTTTGGCGCAATTCGCAGATCAATATCTTAATTTTTGACCGAGTTATGATAGGTCAAAGGTCAAATTTGACCTATTTTCAAAAAATCATAACTCCGGTTCAAATTATCGTAAAGAAAAAAATAAAACGGGAAAATTTACCAAATTGTGTCCGCTTTTAAGTAAAAATTGCAGAAATCACTTCGCTGTAATTTTAAGGGGGGGGCTCGGACCCCCAAATACGTCAATTCAAAGGTCATTCAATTTTCCCGCGAAAAAAAGCAATTTCCCCTAGATTTGCGTCCACATTATCTCAGTAAGGTCAAAATTAGTTCAACATTACGTTGGAAAGTCCCCAAATTTCGGGAAAAGTTAAAAAAAAAAACGAAATTTAAGGTGATTAAATTTGACCGTTTAAATTTCGTTTTTTTTTAACTTTTCCCGAAATTT